GCTGGGGAAGGGAGGCGCCGACCAATCGGCGGCTGACAGCCACTAGGGACCCTACCCATGCACAAATTTCGTGTATGGGGCCTCTAGTATGCATATAAGCTCCCAGGTTAATCACTCCCCAACCTTCACCTTCCCTCTAAAATTCATCAGTCTGTTCCATGCTCTATGTCTCTTGGATCCATTTTGTTCATCAGTATATTTTATTCATTAAATCAATGGCAAGATTTATTAGAGTGACAAGTGATAGTAAGCTTTCAGAGAGGCAGAGAGAGCAGACAGGCTATAGGATAGCTGCGTGCACTCAGAAAAGGAAGTTACAGAGGCAAGAGGAGAGTCCTCTGCTCTGTTTACTGCTCCCCAGATTGCAAGTCTTGCCAGGACCCTTTGAGTTAGGAGAAAAGAAGGCAAAATTATGGGCCCAAGAGAAGGAAGGGCAGGGGCAGGCTCCAAGAAGGACACACACTGTGCTCTTTGCCTAGTTTCCATATATTCTCTTGGGTTCGGGAAAGCCCAATCTTTCTTTTGGACCACCGAACCCCTTTCCTGGCTTTTCCAGGCTGTGTTTGTGTCTTCCCCTATCCACTTTTCTGGATTCTCTGGGGCCTGTGCCCTTCCTCAATCCGATCCTTTCCCCAGACTTTCCCAGGCTAGTGCCCTTCCCTTGTATGGTCACCATTTTGGCTTCTACTGCACATGCCTCACAGTTCTGCTTCATCACTTGGCTTTTACTGGACATGCACCATGTAAAAGGAATTCCCCCTTGCTGTTTTCTCCCTCCCCGCCCCTCCATTAATCCAGTAAAATTAAGCCAGTTACCCTTTGGAGTGACTGTAAAGCTATCTTTCCTGCCTGGTCAACTAGGTGGGGTGTTTTGCTGTTTTGGCAGAACAATGCTAATTACTCCCCAGGGTGACTGTTCCATTTATCCCTTCCTCTTTTGTTATTATCTAACTAACTGTATGCTCTAATACTTCACACCATTGTCAGCCTAGAGAGATCTTGGCTTGCATTTGCCAGTTTTCCAAGGAGAGCAATGTTAGCTCTAGGGATCAAGCACGTCAAACTCAAAGGCTAACACGGGAAAAATAAACAAGGTTTAAGTTTATGTGGGCCACAAAAGAACAAAAGCTTCAATTTTCATAGAAATGTAGGTTCATTTCAATAGAGACATGCTAAATACAAAGGGCTGAAATAAATGAGTAATTGTTAACATAAAATAATAGAACATTTTAATAAAAATATTTTTCTTGAACATTAACTTACCAGACACCAAATAACTGCACAAATAAGCTTAAAGCAAATAAACCTATTTTTCTTGTTCTCCAAACGTGAAATATTTCCTGTTGTGCACACCAAACAGGTCAGTCCAAGACTAATGACCTGGCAATCAGCTGCTAAAATATTTGCTGCTAGTATTAGTGGAGAGAAATGGTGCGCCTGCGTGTAAGGCGCGTAAGGGAAATGAATGTAACATGATGATAGCAATGAGTCATTACTGAACGTTGTAGTTCATTATTAATAATTATGTATAACAGTATATTGAAAAAAAAAAAAAAAACCTCATCTGAGTCTTATATAAAGACTCACAGCAATGTTTGTCTGGATGAGAATCATTACCTCCCCAGCCAGGTCGGCTCAAAGAACAGGCTTATTGGGAGTCTGTGCCATGTTCTATCCTTATGCTATTTCCTTTTTATGACAGAATGACATAAAAGACATAGAGAAACAAAATAACCATTTCAGGGAGAAAAGGATCAATTAAAAAATAATAATATTTAATTTAAAAACCCCAAGAGTCACTAGGCCCAAGAGTCTAGATCCACAAATATTTTCTCCTGCCAATCTAATTTAGAAGAGAGAGTTTCACCACTTCTAATTTCCACTGGACCCTGCAGACAAGAGATCAGAGAGGCTGACAGGCTAAAATGCTAACCACCTCTGCCAGCTGTGGTCAGACATCCATAATCTGTCAGCTGCAGAAGCAGTCCAGGAACCAGCAGTGTCCCAGCCAGTATTCTCCTAGCTGGCTCGCCAAATAGTGGGGGCGTAAAAAAAATATTAATACTCTTCCTCTCGCTTTCTAAGTTCTTCTAGCTGGACTAATAACCAAATAAACAGAGATAGATAACAGGAGAAAATCAAAGTTTAATGCATGTACATGGGGAATTCACAT